CTTCTGAACCAATTCATTACAATTCGAAAAATATGGTACAATTTATAGAATCTGGTTCATTTTTATGGAATCTGCTACATTTTTCAGACGAATCTGGTACATAACAAAAATATATTCTGATAACAGTAGTCTCTACCACATTCAAAATGATTCTATTTTTTTTCTAAATCGCTTACTTTTTGAGACACTAGACACTTTCTTTCAATTTAAGTGAAAACAATTAACTAATAAATCATTAATAATACTCACCTAATGTATCTATTAGTCCATTTAAAAACAGCGGCACCATTGGCCAAACACATCACATACCTACTAAATACATTGTTAAAAATGTTATTAACAATACATAAACCGAACTATACAACAAAAATTGGTTTTTTTCAGAAATTTGTTTATCAGATGTTCGTCCCATAGGCGTACAGAAATACATTTAAATACCAAAAAACGTATTTAGCCACAATAAATTATTAGTAAATTTACATTATTTAACGATTTACTTTAAAAACGTTTGATTAACTCTAATAAGTTTTAAATAAACTGAGGTAGTAATCGGATAAATAAAGCCTTTTCAATGAGTTTTTCAAATAATATTGAAAATAGATAGGTATATCTTTGTTCTTTCATAAAAGTAGCAATATGTCGACTTTATTTTTCTTTAAGAACAGTTATTTTAATTAGACTTAATTAAAATACCACAAATAAATAAATAAATAAAGTGTTAGAGCTGGATTTATAAACTTCGTTCAGTTGGCGTTCAGTTCACGCTCAGTTCGAGTTGGTGAGTTCGTGGCACGAACTTCGTGCTGGACATAATTTATAATAGTCTTTGGCCGTTCGTTCGTCGCTGCGAATTTTGACATTTGATTTGACAAGACATAACCACAAACTCCACGAAATAATATATATTTCGTTGTTATTTTGTTTTAATTATATTTTTAAATGGTATTGGTTATAATTATAAATTCGTTATAATTTCGTATCCAAAACAAACCTATCATGTCATTATAGGATCGCGATGACGCATGCGTGGTCAAATAATCAGATACGTGTTTTCATTGGCTCGACATTCGCCTTGAACGGCGAACATAAAAGTTGGTCATTTCTCAGCCAGTGTTGCCAATCTAGTACATTTGTAATAAATTTAGTACATTATTTAAGAATCTGGTACTCTAGTACACTCGAAACAAAGTCTAGTACTTTTTCTTTTTAGCCTGTATCCATTTGGACCACGGGTAAAATGTATTGTTGGTTTCCTTGTTTGTGTTTGTTCTCGATAAAAGCTTATTTTGATTTGCTCTTCAATGAACCAAACCATCACAATTCGAGAAATAGTCTACAAATCTGGTACATTTTTATGGAATCTGGTACATTTCTCAGGCAAATCTGGTACATAACAAAAATATGTTCTGGCAACACTGATGATAGCTCTTCTTCCGTTAGCCATTTCAGTAGGCGATGATATTTTTGCAACAAATTTTATCTAACACTTTAATTTAGTTGTTTACAAGTTTAATTAGTATAAGTTGTCAAATATACCTGATTGCAAGTTAAAGTTTAAAGTAATCCTTTCGCCAATTAGGCACTCCAACGACCTGTCCAATAATAGTTCCAGTGGGAAAGGCTCGTATATATAAGGGAGTTACGACATAGCCTTCCATCGTGCAGGGTATTTTTATTGAAATTTAATCCATTATTCATAATTTCACTTGTAGATGGAATATACATCGTATGTCGCAATCCCTTAGATATATCAATCCTTTCCATCGATAGTTATTTTGTTTGAAATGCCTAATAAGTGATGGAAAGGAACAAGGAGCATTATGAGGGTGTGATTATTTAGAATTTCAAGCAAGACAAAACGTAAAGAATGTTTTGGAAAATCAATCGAGTGCTTGGTGACAAATCGTCTTCTTTCGCCACAGTAAAGCGGTGGTATAATGAATTTCAACGTGGCCAACTTTCCTCAAATGACAGTTTTCGAGCTCCTACGCCAAAAACCACAGTTACAGAAATAAATATTAATCTTGTTTAAAACATGATTAAAGAGGACCGGCAGAAATATTCAAACAACTTTAAAGATTGATGTGAAAGCAATTAACACTATTTTGGTGTACACCATCATCAAAGCTAATGAAATGTGGGTATACTGCTATGATCCAGAAAAAAAAGCAGTTTGGGACTTTAAAATTGAATCAATTCCAAAAAAGTTGTACCTGAAAAAAGCTGAAACAAAAAGAAATCCACTTTTTTGGAATTACTGTAGCACTGAAGGATAGACGTACTATTAATTCAGAATGGTACAGTTTATTTGCCTCAGGTTTTCCAAAAGGTTTACGATAAACTTCCAAGAGGAAAGATCTTCTTGCATCAAGATAACGCTCGATCCAACAGTGTTGCTCGAACAAATGAGTATTTGAATTAGAAAACAAATAAATAATGGATCATTCGTCGTATAGTCCAGAACTGGCACCTAGTGACTTCTTACTTCCGTGGATAAAAGATAAACTACGGGGTTTGCGTTTTTCATCAGCTGAAGAAGCGGTTGATGCTTTTAAAAATGAAATAAACAAACTAACTATTTTTTTTGTAAATAAAGTGTTCTTTATATTACTAGGCTCAACGGAAAAGAACAGAGAACAGCCCTCGTATTTTATATATATATATATATATATATATATATATATATATATATATATATATATATATATATATATATATTTAAATAAAATGCAATAAAATGACTCATAAATCAAGAACTTGAACAAATATTGAATTTTCTTTTCACATCAAATATTTATGACTTACTTTTCAGCATTTTGAAAATAATTTTATGAATATTCTTTGAAGTTACTGTAATTACTTTTTCTACACCCATGTGTATATCATCTTTTATGTATTCCTACACTACATAACGAATATGTAGACCATATTAGTCTACTGAACGGATTAAATTTTATATTCATTCTAGAATTTTAAAGTTGAATCTAGAAATAACAGGCAAGCAGAAAAATCCTGTCATTTGTTAAAAATCCAACAATTATTTATAATAAACATTTGATAGACATAGTTTTTGTTGTGAAAACAAATTTCGTTTCAAAAACATTGCATATGTCAATTTTGTATTCTCACACATTCTTGACATTCTATTACTGCCTATTACTTTCGATTTCAACCATAAGAATAGATATGAAATCCACCAATCACACATCAAACTAATTATCAGTATATTATTAAGTATGGAGTGTAAAGGTAAGGAGAACTATCTCTGTTTACAAAAAGTGTCCCTCAAAATGTAAGTAAGCAAGTTCATGCACAAATATTAAGTGAAACCATGCAGGTGAAAATCCACGAAGGATGCCTACAAGGTGTGGTCCTTTTTTCTCTACTGTGGAACCTAGTGGCAGATGAACTGCTGATAACACTGAACAATCAAGGGCTGTTTTTACGCCCAAGGATATGCCGATGACATAGTCATCCTTATCTGAGAGAAACACCAAACCACAGTCTTCGATCTCTTACAAAGAGCTCTAAGGCTGAGAGAAATGTGGATAGTTAGGAAAACCTCTTGGTCAACCCTGACAAGGAACAAGTCATCACCATTACTCGTAAAACGAGGTTGGAGGTCTTAGAAACTCCGACCTTGTTTGGAGGAAGGCTAAAAAGAACAAACCAAGTAAAATATCTGGGTCTAATCCTAGATAGCAAAGTTACTTGAAACCAACAACATACAAAAGGTCTCCAACAAACGTAAAATGTGTCTCATTGTAGGGAGATGGGCATTTATAAAAACATGTGGATTACAATCGAAAATGATCCCTACTGGCTATATTCGGCAATAATAAGACCCATGATAACTTATGGTGCGTTTTTTTGGTGGCCAAAAATTAAACCAGAAAGCACCCCTTAATACCCTCTCAGGAGTACAGAGGCTACCATGCCTTTGTATTACAGGAGCACTGAGAAGTACACCGACAACCTCTATGGAAATCATTCTAGCCCACCCCTTGGCCTAGTCATAAAGGGGGAGGCCAGAATGAGTGCATATATGCTGGACATCTTTAACAAGTGGAACATGGGATCAGATCATATAACACCCCCTCCTAACCTTTAACAGGCTCTTCCAGGTCAACTACTGCAACTGGGACGAGGTATATAAGAAGAAATACTTGCTTAGCGGTCTCCTATGGTACACGTAAACTAACAAGGGCAAAAGGCTCTGACGCACATGGAGTTAAACCCAAATGCGGCATCATTGTCTCACTGGGAAAACATACCACTGTATTTCAGGCTGAAATACATGCAATCGAATTGTGTGTATGAGAGAATTTAAGAAGGCATTATAAAGAACAAACCATCTTAATTGTCTCAAATAGCCAAGCAGCTGTAGAGGCCCTGGGTTCAAACGGAATCAAGTCAAAGCTGGTCTGGAACTGTCTGATCTGGCAACCCACAATAAGGCTGATGAACTCGCCAAAGAGGGGTCAGAACTACCATTCACAGGACCCGAACCTCTATTTGGGATAGGCAAAATTTCTTCTCAACAGACAGTGAACAGGTGGATAACCACAAAATACCAAACTCACTGGCAACAGATAATAGGGCATAGAATTAATAGGCTCGTGCTAAAAGGGGACCAAACCTACGCATCGTTACAGAGGTACTACAGCTCGTAAGGCCTCAGATATCCACCATTGTGGGATTACTAACGGGAAATTGCTTACTGAAACACCTTTATGTGATGAGATAACACAATGATCCTACCACGTGTAGACTCTGCATGGAAGAGGAAGGAAGCTCATACCATGTGATCTTCGAATGCGTAGCTCTTGCTAGGCGGCGTTTCACCATTTTCGGCCTAGAACCGGAAAGAACGTCCCAGGAATAATTAGTAGGAAACTTAGTAAAACTAATCAAAGGCACAGGACTATTCCAAAGATAGTACCTGAATGCTGGGAAAGCAAGGAAATACAATAGATTCAAGAGGCCATAGTGTTCTAACCCTACCTACTTATAACCGACAAAAATAAAGATTAGTATTTAAAATCAGTATAAGTGGAACTTTTAACCAAATTGAATCACTACATCAAACATATTTTTAGGAGTATAAATTTAATTTTATAATTTCCATTTGTTATTCGGATTCCTAATGCAACATTACAGTATTACACACAATTTTAGAAGGAATAGAAGGACATTTATCATCATCAGAACCAAGACATTTGAGATTATCATTGTAATAAAGTGAAACACTAGGTACATAATAATTTTGTGATAAGCCCAAATCAGTAAATTTATCCCGCTCGTCAGGAATTCCATTTTCTGCCATAGTCTTATTCATATCCAAATTTTCACCAAGGTATCTAGAAAATAGATAAATATTATTTATTTATTTATTATAATTTAAAAACACATATTGGGGAAGTGAAAAAATATGCTAGTAGTGAAAATCACTTTAAAATAAAAATACAAGAGGAAATAGTTATTAAAAGTAGAACTCAAAATAAAAATTGAAGAGCTGGAGGATGTAATTCCAGACAGAGAGTTTCGTGCTAAAGCTGTTGAACTTACCTCCAGGTATAACAATCAGCATCGCTGTTGAAGGCCATATATCTCTCCTGAATTGTCCAAAAAGTGTCTTCACAACAAACATTGATCAAAACTTCTCTAGTAAACGGGCAAATCATGTTGATGACTCGTAGTGGCCGCACTCTTTTTGTCAGTAAACCAATTTGATATCTATAAAATAAAATATTGCTTGCCTTATCAGCTATTTCTGTTAATAATTTTGTAATAATTCAGTTACTGATATCCCTAGATTATTTCTTGGGATAAAAGATGCAAACGAAAAACAAATTTGCTGAGAAAAACAATAAAAACAACAAATTATGAAAAGAGAAGTATTTACTTAACTGTTCATCATGCCACCATGGAGGTCTACCCAAAGGCCTCCAATCAGTGGCGGGAATTGGTACGCTAACATCTGGAATTGGTCCATGAGGACAATAAGGTACATTACAGCCTGTCTCGGGATGTATATAATGTTGAATATCTCCCGTTTTCTCGTCAAACCAATGCGAAATATCTTTTCCCGCCATGGTCAATAATGGTTTAATACATCTTTCACCGGCATGAAGTTGAATAACCTGAGAAACATTAAAAACCTTTCCAAGAAAGGACACCCAGCAATCATCTGGCCTATTATGAGTAACCAATTCAAATGGTGCGAAGTAAGGCCATTTCTTCTCACTTTTTTCTTCGTCGGACATTTTCTTTTAAATTCGTTTATAAATAATTTATTAGAATAAGTTTAAAATCATTATACGTAGACAACGACGATTATCTTTCGACGACAATCCTGTCAAAATGATTAAAGGCGATTTTAAATCAGATACTATGAGCGCTTTCTTTTATGTCATCTGGGTTACTCGCGAGCAGTACCAGAGCTGCTCCAGACTCTAATTGACCGTTCTTTTTAACGGGGCTTGTTGATCTGGAGCAACTCCCACATGTTCTCTTCTCCCCTCAAGCACATTGTCACTTGTCTTGTCAATTGCCATTGGGTTATCGGTTTAATGTCAGATAGATTTTATATATCTTTTATATATTATAATAACGAGGTTTTTCGCTGACTAAAGATTAAAATGAATACAAAAATAGATTTATTGAACTTAATGATCTACAACTAAATAAAAAATACCGTCTACTTGTTTCTAATGAAGATTTCGACAGAGCATCCATAGGTAATGAATTAAAATTTAATAAATGTATACATAAGGTCATTTCCTTTGCATCGAAAGTGTAGCACTGAGCTACACCACTTCTGAAAATATCGTTCCATTTATACAATATGTATGGATAGACATTTTCAGAAGTGACGTATCTCAGTGCTACACTTTCGATGCAAAGGAAAAGACCTAATCTATGCATAAATTTATATTTCAGATGAAGAATTTGCCAGGTCCCTAATAAATCATTGTAGGGTAACTTCAAAAATGCCATTCAATTCACCAGTGGTTGAAAACTCCGAGCAATTACTAATAGAGGGAGCGTGAAAACGAGTTTGTAGGCGATTGTTGTGTTAGCAACATCTGTGGAGGATGTGAGGAAGCGGGCACAAGGGGGAAGGTAAACATCCTTCTTGTTCAGTGGCGTATCATTTATCTATAAAAACACACATTGTCCAAACGTTTTAATTGTAAAAAAAAAACTAAAAAATTTGCTAATTTTACTATTTTTAAAATGAATACCGTCATATATATGTCTAATGCAGAAAAAGAAACAAAATCACTGTAAAGGTCTAATTTTTTCAATTGAAGAATAAAACCTTAAAATAAATTTTATTATAAATACAGGAGCGACTAGTTTCGGCCTTACAGGAATATCTTCAGGCCTGTAATACAATAATCTTTAATTATTATAATGGGTTGGTCACTTACGAATAACATTAAATAGTATAAACCACATAAATGGATGCATATTGTAGCGTTACAGCATTATAGAATTAAAGCTGTGAAAATAAAAGAGCAGTGCAAACGTAACTAAAAATAAGAAAACTGAGTACGGAATCTACAAGAGAAGAGGTGAGAATGAGCAATTACGAATGCATTTAAATTGCTCGGGATAACAAATAAAGCTGATAATGTAGTGGTATAGTCCCCATCAAAGAAGGTCTGGATATGTTAAAGAGGACGGCGTTTTCTCTGTAAATCTGGAGAATTTAAGGATGGAAGGAAGACGAATCTTGCTGGCTCAGGTGTAGATGGCTAGAAAAAGGAGCGTGTAGATGAAAGCTCCAGTAAATATCGTCACTTTCGTCTAATTTTTAATCTCACTCACCGTTTCGGCTTTATCTTCGAAATTCATTTTTAAAAGGAAATAAAAGTAATCATTCATACAAGCATATAATAAAACAACATGAATTTATTATATTTAATAAGCTAATAAACGTTTGTTTTAATGAAAAAAACATATATGTGAGTATAAAAAATATATAAATAGATAAGATTAATATCAAAATCAATTTGAAAATACAACAGATAATAAAATGAAATAAATTAATACAAGTACAAATAGAAAGTTAATAACATACCTTCTAAAAGTAACACATTTTAAGTAGATAAATATTTAAAGAGTTTATTCCTGAACATAACTAATCTAACGTTTTTCCCCTTTTTAATATTATGAGGGTTTTTGTAGTTGAAGTGAAAATTATAATTTATTTTGGTCCTAATAAAAATTTAAACATAGGTTATCAAAGAGTAAAATTTATAATAGAACTTTATAATCTTAAATCGTTATCAAAAATTATTAATGGTAAAACTTCAAACAATAGATTCTTAAACAAATTTCTAGTTTTTGTTTTGCAAAAGACTTTTTTGCCTTCTTCGGTTGCCTCTGCCACTTTTCTTTTAGTAGTTTCGAGGAGAATTTTCCTATGGAAACCAGTAGAACCATCAATTGGTTGGTAAAATTTTGATATTTTGAGTCTGGTAAGTCTTGATAAACTTTCTTCTTAGGAAGCTATAACCTTATGGAGAATAAAAATTTAATGTTAGATCAAAAGCTCTTAATTAAGAATTATATTTGCAAATGCCGTTTTAATATTTTCAAAAGTTCTTGGAATCGTTGTTAACAGAAACCTGCAAAAAAATATATAATTTTATTCCTAAAATATAAGATATCACACAATGCACATTCATATAATATCATTGTGCTAGAAAAATACTAGGTAGTTACTGAGACAATTTAAAAAAAGTATTTCGAGAAACTCAACTTTTAATGTCATCATTGTACTTAACTTTTTTATTACTAAATTATTAATAATGTCATTTTGTGTAGTTCGTTGTGATTTGTATAATATATATTATTAAAACCCATCGTCAATGTTAATGTGCCAAGTTTTTTTAATAATTATGTCCTTGTTATAGTAAAAACACATTTAAACACATTTTTATAGTTTTCTGGATTTCTGCTTTAAATTATCGTACAATTGAACTGACTAATAATTGTGTGTTTAAGTAAAGGTATATCTCTTTTTTGTTATAACAGTCTTTGTATATTGTTCTAACTTTTTAGATAATCAGAGAAAACAGTAAGACATCTTAATATATCCTATTTCACCAACAAAAATGTAGAATAATTAATCTCACATCAAACGAAAAAAGTAATTTTAGGATGTCGTAATAGGTTTTAACTTAAAACTAAATAAAATGTATATTGCAACTGTGTTTAAATAAATGAATGTTTTTATACCTGACTATAGCACCAGACAAACATTATTTTAGATCATAATGATCTGCATAACTCAAAATAGTCAAAATCCACATTATTTAAGTTGTTCTAGTATTGTTTTAGCATAACGATGTTAACTCCAATAATAAATATTCACATTTTTTTGGGACGTTTTTTAAGGAAATTAAAAAAAAAACATGAATAATGTGATAGTCTTGTTTAGTTTTGTACTATATAATATAGTTCATTAGGTAGTGATTTAGAAGCAAATTATGTTCTATTTATAGAATAAAAAATCACTCATAATATCTAAATATTTATACCTATTTATATTTTGGACAGGAAGACTATTTTATGTTTTTGGCTCTGAATACTTTTCTTAAGAATTCTAAAACCTTCCTTAGCTCTTTTGGGATATTCCATGCATATCTTAGAAGTTCATTTTGTTTAAACCTAAAACAAATTAAGTACAAAAAATGAACATTTAAACAATACACAAAATTAGTCTTTTAGATTAGTTAAAAAAAAGTGTCAACAAAAAAATAGCTATGCCTTTTTCCTTAAACATTCTTTTTGAAAGAAACTTAAGTTTCTCTACTTACTTGCTGTTTTAGTATTTTAGTAGCAGATGAATATAGTGTAGAAGTGGTGACAGGATTGATTATTATACTTCTTTTGTCGAAATTGCATTTTTCTTTAATATTTTCCTTCCCTGAGATCTGTAATAAAAATGCATTAGCATAAAAAGTAATTCAGGTGGTCACTTGTTGAATTCCTATATTTTGGAACCATGTATTTCTTTCTCATATCAAGAAAAGGAAACCTAAAAAAAATAACAATAAACTTTACAAAGTTAATTTTAATTTTTCGATAAGAAAATAAAAAAGTTTAATTGCAAATTAAAGGTGATTGCCTAATGCACCGCCTCTGATAATTAGGTTGTGTCTGTACTTACTTATGATATTATCTTGAAGAAGCATTTTCAACAGGCCTTTTACACATAAAGCATGTTTTCACCATATTATTAGAGATAATAAATCTTAAATATACATTTACAACCTTTACAACGTTATAAATAATAATATTTTCCGTAAAATACAAATAAGAAATTGACATGTGTCAGAAAGTGTCAGAACTGGCGCTCACAGAAAACTTCTGGCGCTGTCAAACTTGGCAACGCTGATTAAATAAGCCAATTACAGAAGAGGTATTTTCCCCCTCGGAGGGAGTGTAGATGTTGCTAACAAAATTTAGCGCGGGGAAGGGGGGAAGACTCCCTCTAGTAGTAATTGCTCGGAGGTTGAAAATACTGATGCCCAATCATCTACTTCTGTGACAAATCAAGTACAATTAGCATCTTCGGAAAAGTGCATTTGGTCATATAATAAAACTATGGCACTTATAAAACGATTTAAATTTTAATTAACTGCACCAACTGCACTGACTTTGACAACTGACAAGTGTCAATAAAGGAGTTCGCCGTAGACCGTTATCAGTCGTTCTTTTTTGACGTCATAGGGTTCCATACTCTAAGAACACTTAAAAAGAAAGCACTCTATGTTTTGAATATGATTGACTACACTGATATAAATCAAAAACAATGACGTCATATTGAATATTGTCTTGGAATCGTCAAATTTAACATGACTACAGTAAAAATGTGGTCATCACAGGTATGAAATGTCAAATTGAATGACAAATGTAAAACTTTTACCCTTAGAGCATATGCTCTAAGCTTTTACCTGACTTTTGCTTTTTAATCATTAAATTATTGTTTGGTTGTGTTCAGAGATAGTTGTGTTATTTGTAGAAGGATGAGTATAGGGATGCCAGATTTACGAAAGGGAAAAGTGGGACAACGGTGACGACAGGGGATCAGGTTTAAAAAACAGGTATTTTTATAAAATACAGGGTGTCTGTAAAAGGTCTTTACAAAAACATACCACATATTCCTTAGACCAAAATAAGTCGATTTAAGTAAAATTACCTTAGTACAAAGTTGCTTCGTTTTTAAAACGTTTTTCCCATATAAATTTAAAACGGCATATGCGATTTTGCTGAAATTTGGTATATTGATAGAGTTTTATGTGGCAAAAAAATGGTATTAAAATTTTGTCCGATAATAATACATAGGCGTAAAACTTGAATTTTTTAAATAATTGCACCTTTAAAAATTCTACGCCAATG